CACTTTGACGATTTCTGAAAAATAACATGGTTTTATTTAGTGGATACGTGTGTCGGTGGTATAGCGGTTAGGACACTCGCCAACCATGCACATGGTCCGGGGTTCGATCCCCGGCCACAGACGCACACCTTTACCTCTCTAAGCCAGAAATAATTCTGGTAAAGAGGAAAGGTTGGGCATGAGGCTAGTAACCCCATCCTGGAAAATAAACTCTGCTACAGAAACTTCAAGCCACTAGCTTGAAGCTCTATGTTCCACTGGGGAACGTGAAGGAAAAATATTAATTATTATTTAGTGGATACCGACTAGCAGTTCAGTCGAGCCAGGATTAAAATTTCGTTCTATTTGAACCTCATCAATTATAGGATTTACCTGCAATCCTTCATGAGTACGCTGTTCCCATTGACCATCGAACCCAACATCCATCGCTTCAAAATGCCAAAGCGTTGCATCCACTAGGCCGAACAGAACGGAATGCTCATCTTGGCTTCTACTGCTAGCCATCATCTAATGCTAAATTTTAAGCTGATTATTCAACTTAACCCTTTATAGTCAACCAACCAAGTAATTTAGCTGGTTTCTGAGCAGTTTCATATAGCTTATACTGGTCAGCCTACTGCCCGATATACACATTCAACAATTCAGTCGTTCTCTACGATGGTTGAGGCATAGTTTCTTCAATATATATTAGCAATTATGAGTAACAAGAAACTCTGGCTCGGAATAAACCAACCAAGAGCCGATCGCTCAACAAATATGTAGGAGAGAGTGTAGATGGATTGATGGGGCATACACGCCACTGCAGAGACCATCGAATGACATGCGCCCACTGCAGGCCATCATTCGAGTGGAATTTCAATGGGATCGGATGAGTAGGTCGTCAATGTGAGGGTGACATGGAGGAGATCGTTTTGGTGAGGATGAGTAGATGAGAGATGATGGACAATCGTGGACTCAGATGAAGAGGACAGTAGAAAATAGAAGAAATTGGAGATGTGCTGTTGAAGCCCTTTATTCCACTCGGCACCAAAGGAAGTATTAATTATATAAATAATACCATTAAATAAACAGGAGTAGTCAAATCATGATTTTCACAAAAGGTCAGTTCTCCATATATATTTTAAGTTCATGGTCTATACTTTTTGACGTCTCCAGGCGTAAGAAAGAAAGATATCTCTGGCGTAGGCGTGACATCCGGTTATCAACCAAGGGACGTGTGTACTGCTCACCAGTTCGCTCCGTCCTTGTCTATGGCTCTGAAACATGGCCAATACGAGTTGAAGACATGAAAAGGTTGACTGCTTTCGATCATAGATGTCTGCGATCTCTGTCTCACGTTAGGTGGTTTAATGAGGTAAGTAATGTTGACGTTAGGCGTAGAGTGTTGGGCAAAGAGGGAAAATCAATCGATGAGACTATAAAGTTACATAGACTGAGATGGCTAGGTCACGTGGTGCGCATGCCTAACCATCGCCTCCCCCGACGGGCATTACTAGCTGATATAGGTGCAGGTTGGAAAAGAGCCAGTGGTGGCCAAACAAAAACATGGCCTCATCAATCCATGAAATCCTTGACAGTTAAACTGAGTCAGTCAGGTAGGGAGATGCAGACTCCCGGGTTGGGGCCCTCGGGACTCTAGGAATCAATGGCTGGAGACAATAGGTGACATGGCTCAAAATCGTTGTCAATGGCCAGCGCAGATGTATTCAGTCTCTGTAATCTTTCATATTCCTCTCTACCATTACCCATTCTGTTTCACTCTTATACTTGTCAGACTGTATTGATTCTCTTCACTCATCTTCTTGTCTACCTCTGTGTGCTATTTGGAACGTGGCAACTCGAACTGCTGCACTTCGGTGCCAAGCTCTATGTTGAATCCAGACAGACAGACAGAAGAAAGATATCCTTGAATCTCTCGACGTTGAAATTTCCCCTTCAATTTCGTTTCATTATTATGTTTATCTCAAATGTATCTTGAAAATCCCCATTTAGTCATATGAAAAAGAGAAGACCTTCAGCGAAGAGACTCTTTTCGGCGAATTCATTCACATAGCTGTACAATCGCATTTATATATAATTATTTGAGTGTGTGTACAGGTAGAGTCTCTACCTGAAATTACCTCTGTTGCTAACCTAACCTAAGTTAAAACATTTTAGTCAATTGTATTACGTCATCTAACTTACTAACTCAATTTTACTTTAGTTGCTGTCCAATTAACCTTGTTTCTATATTAGATCATTCTTTTATTACCTGATCAATTATCTAATTTTGACAAACCTCATGTACACACACACACACACACTCAAATAATTATATATAAATGCGATTGTACAGCTATGTGAATGAATTCGCCGAAAAGAGTCTCTTCGCTGAAGGTCTTCTCAAATGTATCTTGTTGCTTTTTAGACGATCATATAAAGATGCATATTCCAGTTTATAATCGACTCAAAAACTTATTGTTGATTAACAGCATTTATCACAGTCATCGAATACAAGTTTAAATCTCTCACGGTTCTACAGGTTATTTTTGATACCAACTGTATATTTGCAAGCCACATTTTTATCCTACATACTGACATTACAATTTTAGGTTCTGATATAAAAGCGAACTAAAATAATAATAAATACAGAATCTCCAGTAGTTCCAAAAATCATCAAGAAAACTAGACTAAACAGAAAACGCACCCGTTTGTCCACTCAGTAGATCAAAATTCTTATCTCCTGACTGCCAGCTGTAAACTTGACGGGGTGGTTCGGTTTGCATACTGTAATGGTCCCAAAAACTACACTGGATAGAACTACAGGAACTGTAGTTCCATGCCTGAAAGGCTATCTGGATAGCGGTCAGATTGTAACAACAGAAGACAAGGGCCAGGCAACAGATCATTTATTTAGGAAATCAACACACACATTTATAGATTTTCATGTACATTATTATAGACTATTGTTAACAGAAAAACACAGTCTTCTGACTGGTGGTTTCTCGCTAAACGTTAATCTTTCACCTCTTTGTGGCCGTTTCTTGAAGTTCAGATTATCTATCTGCAAACTGTATCTGCCTACGCAAAGTCTGCTGTGAGTGGTTGTTGAATCAGTCTTTGTTCTTATTTTTCTCACTACCAGTATTGGGGACGTAAACATTGACGTAAATTAGTGTCTACCAATTTGGCTAGCAGCCAGCTGTCACCACAAGATTAAGGGAAGTTACCATAACATACTATAAGTCGTTTGCACTATGTTAGGGTGGGGAGTGGGTAGCGTAAGGCTGAAGTTGTACCGTCGACAAGTAGACATGTGTAAATGCACTAAGTTTTTCCCCTCAGATTCTTGAGCGATCCCTATCCAGACATTAATGAGAACAAAACACGTGGTTCAGTGAAGAGGCTCCTCCTTTTGGCGAATTCATTTTACTCTTTAGCTCTACATTCGCAGTTTATATGCAATTCTTCTCATGAAAGAGTGTAGTAACAAAAGTGATGAGTTTTCACAAATATACCTGTCAATGCATTAAAAGCAGTTAAGTGTATTAGAGTTACGGAATAAGATGAATAATTCGATGAATGAGTTATAATCAGGAAGCATGTAGAAATGGAAATGTGAGATTATATGAGTTCTAAAGAAATGCAAGAGTTTCAAAGAGTTAGAAAAACAAATAAAATCACTTTTTGATGTAGTTGTGTTCTCTAAGCTGGATAGTTTATTTTCTCCATCATATGGTAAATAAAATCACGTTAGTAAAAAACAACGGGGCTGTTACCATGATCGCAGAGTGATTGGATGATTTCCTTAAGTATGCATATCACTTGCCACCCGCATCCGACGCATCTATAGTCCCGACGTTCTGGAAACAGAATTAGATATTCTAAGCGAAATCTTCATCCAAAATGGATACCCAATAAGATTCATCGACAAAAATATCAAACCAACAATTCGGAGAAACGAAACTTTAACTGCGCCTAAAAAGAAACCCTACATGAACTTGGATTTCAAGGGATATTTAGCAAGCGATATTCTCAAGAGAAGGATCACATCATCTCTGAGAAGAACATTCTTTGCAGCAACGCTAAGAATAGTGTTCTCCAGTCGCCCAGTGATCTGCAGAAGCCTCAAGGACAAGATCCCGCATCTGGCCACTTCTATGTGCATATATCAGTTCACCTGCTGCTGTGGAGCCAGGTACATCGGTCGTTCGACGCTCATCCTGTCCAAAAGGATTCAAGAACACTTTCCAGCCAGCATGGTTGCGAAAAGGCAATAGTGGTGCAATAAGGAGTGCGGTAATTGAACACTTGGTTAATACTGATCATTCCATTTCAATAAACGCCTCCTCCTTCAAAGTAATCTACAGAGTCAAGAATAACCTATCAAAGGCACTACGGTTTCGTCTCCTTTGTATCGCTGAAGCTCTGGCCATTCACATAGAAAAACCGGAGCTGTGCATACAAAAGAAGATTACTCAACCACTTCTACTCTCATGGTAACAATGTTTTGATTTGTTTTGAGTTTTTTTACTGTTATTTTGATGACTTAATTTTGTTTGTTTGCCTGTTCTTTAATTGCCTATAATTCTTGTATTCACTTAGATCCCTTACATAATTTCGTATTATGTTTCTATGTGCATCTTGAGTAAAACTCACTCATCAAACTATTCATATTATTATTACATAACTTGTTTTAACAACTGTTTGTGACAACTCATCACCTTTGTTACTACCCTAGTTTCATTAACACCTAATTTTCTTGAAAATTGCATGTCCCAGCTTACTTTATATCAGTCCGTCCGTAGCCGGGGTAACACCTTGTGGATACCGACACAACTCGAAAATCCACTTCAAACTTGCCGTTTGCGACCGGCCCCCAAAGGCTGTGTAGCCATGCAACACCAATTCTTCTCTCTCGCTGTTTCAAGTACGCCTCCACCCAACCCCCGCCGAGAAGAATTTCTTGTCACCCAACGTCTTTTTGAAAAACAACCAACCAATTTACAAAAATTATTTTATACTACTAAAATAGTTTGTTAGTAGACTGTATAAAATATCAAAAATTACATCGCTTATTCCTCAAAATTTTGTATTGATAAAATATGTTGAAATAAGGACTGTCTCTCTTTCTCTCTTCTACTCTTGTGAAAAATTAGGAAAATATCTATATATAAATGCATGACTTTTTAAAAATCAAATTTCATATCAAACATATGGTCTCCATAGTGTTGTTAAATGATTTGTTGTTGATTCACCACTACTTGATGTTGATGATGATGACGATGATGAATGCATTCTTCGATTGTTCAGCGTTACAACTGGATTACTACAATTACAATTACAGTTGTAATTATAATTCTCATTATTTCGAATAAAATTTTGAGAAGACTGTCCATCATCTGGCAGTGTAGACGATAGATAACAACACTTGTAACAATTTTCACCTTGTATTGCTATTTGTTCTCCAGGTAAATGATGATTGTTTAAAATATCAGGATATAATTTCGTCATCATCATCCTCATCATTGACTCTGGGGATTGTTTTAATTGAACTTGTGATGAATAGGCTTGATTGTTAGCATAATGATAATAATCATTATTGTTGTTGTTCAATGTGTTCATTGGTTGACGTATTATTGAACATTGATCAAGTGTATCGTTACTATAACAACAAGATGGAGTATAATTTGTATTCGTGAAATAATTATGATTTTTATTCATCATTGATACTCGATTTTCTTTATTGATATCATCAACGTCTTCTGTAGGTGAAATTAGCATAACTGGTTGATAGGTAGTTAATGGAGTTGAATAATGCGAAGCTGCTAAAGATTGACATGGTTCTCTACAAGGTAAGTTGTCATACGGATACATTGAGGTATATAAATGTGGATACTGTTGAATAATAGAATCGTTCAACGGATAAGATATTTTCGATGCAACATTATGATTATTATTTTTTACGAAATGATAATTATTCGGTTGATTCAATAATGGAAATAATTCTGAATGATTTAGTGATGAACTCTGTGGATGGATCAATGATGATGAACAGGATTCAAGTTTAGCGGGATATTTTGTTGGTTTTAATAGGATTGGTAGGCTGTTGGGCTGTTGTGATGAAATAATAGTCGTCGGATTGACTGATGATGACATTTTCCCGCGAGTTTGATTCAGTTCTTTTTTTAGAAATGATACAACTAATTCTAGAATATCAGCTTTCTCTAACTTTCTATGATGACGAGGCTAAAATAAACATAAAAAAAGATGGGCGATAAATTATTTCAGAAACCAAGATATGAGAAATTAACAAGAAAAAAATGATTCAGGCAGACTGTAGGTCAATAAAATTAGGAGCAAAATTAAAGTAATAACAGGCAAAATCAAGGTCTGTCAAAAGTCGGTCTTGAGGGACCAATCAGATTTGCAGTACGCTGTGAAAAGCCATTCCAAATCTCAAATCAAACCTGCTTTCACGTACTTGACGAATGAGTTCCAAAAAGGTCGAGTATTTACCTACTGTGCCCCACCTGTGTGTATGGTGGGGCAGATTATGACAATAGGGCAATACAACCTTTAGGGAGATGCAAATCACGCTATTGTGGTGGTGTAATACAGACAATGGGTTTCAACAGAAGATTATTCTCACAGTAAGATTAATTGGATTTGTTGGTGTTAACATCTGAATACTATTCCCACAGTTCACTACTGAATTAGCAACAGAATACTTTATGTATATATTTGAACATTCTACTTCATGTCGTTTAGCTTAAATCAAAATCACACGCTCAGTGATTGGCTAAAGAATATAAACTGTCGCCGACCATGCAAATGGTCCGGGGTTCGATCCCCTGCCAACGCACACCTCATATCTATGGTCGACCTGCAAAATATGGGCTACCGATATCACATGCTGAAAATTCCAGACTTGTACCAAAAATTCGGTGTAGAGTCAAGCTGTAATCAGAAATTTAAAATTAGATACGAATAGCTATTTGATCATTTTTGATTTGAAAATCAAAAATTCAATTCAGTAATTAATATGACCCGTTGCACAAGAGGTGGCTCTCGTGGCCCAAGTGGTCTAGTGGATAACGCTTTGGCGTTTGAAACTATGGGTACTGGGTTCGAGCTCCGGTGGGAACGTCATCACTCGCTGAGAAATGCAGGTACATCCAGCTGACGAGTCCCAAATAGGACGAAATGCGCATCCTGGATTCCACTGCTAGCCACTATCCACCAATTGTAAGCTATTTGATCACTTGAAAATATACCTTGACTTCCGTGCCTTGCCTTCCGCTGTTACACTTAACAGAAAATCGCTTCGTGAAAGAAGGTAGGTTGTATTCTGCTTACTCTTCAGGCAATTTTTTCTGTTAAGAGGTTAGGGTAGGTTAAAGGATAAAGTCAGGAATATCAATAGATCCCATAGCACCAAGATCTACTACAGTCATCTGCATGAATACATTGGTTGCGTATGGTGTGACTTTTCTATGTATTATTACCCTTGAAGTTACTCGGAGACATACTTAAAACACATAAGAGACAATAATCCAGTTTAATATTACGTTTGTAATGTTTTTAAGATATTTCTTTGACGATTAAGAGGATTGCCTTGAACCTGAATTCTGATTGGTAATTCAAGGTCAGTGTGATTTTGCCTACTATACTTTAACGTCGTCAATTTAGGAATTAATGCAGAAGGATTGTTAATTATCCACAACTATTCTAAAGTCCATGTGATGAATTAATTTTTTTCCTATTTTAAATATTGACTCTAAGTATCTAACAGGGGCAGTTGAAAGTATATTATTTATAATGAAATAATTTTATACAGAACATTCGAGTGAATATATAGATTATGACAAAACAAATTTGCTGCACTTTTGTTTCAATTTTACTTGATTGAATGGATAGAACGAAGGTAGTCGCCAATTACGGTTTGAATTTCCTCATATAGTAGTTCGTGTGTTATGTGATTTTGTATTATGTGCTTAAGATGAAATGTTGTAATCATCAAATCAACGCGTTTTATCGAATTTTTCTACGCAGCTGAATATCTACTGTGATGTTTGCTATATACTGTGTGCGAGAACACACCTCACAATACCTGTGTCAGCCTCACTCCTTAAACTTTCCAATCACTAGTTGATATACCACTCACAATCTGCTGACCCAAGACTGTGACAGTCTCAACATCAGCCTTGTATATGCTCAAATGAAAAATTCAAAAGACTCATTAGTGAACAAAGAGTATTTTTCTTTCGATGACCCCGTCTTCATCAGGTTCTACATTACTATAACCATAATAACTAAAGAAATAGTCTTACTTACATTAATATTGTTTTCAAATACAAGCTGAATTCAGGAAAAGCAAGTCATGTATTGATCAAATCGCCACTCTGTGGATCATTATTGAACAAAGCTTGGAATGGCAGTCACCTCTCTATCTCAAATTCATCGACTTTGAAAAGGCCTTCGACAGCGTCGACCGAAAGGTGATTTGGAAACTGTTTCACTACTATGGGGTGCCATCGACAATTATACATCTCATCCAACAGTTAGTTGGACGACAATGCTGCATGCCAAGTAATCCACAACGGGAAACTTACGGAAGCCTTCGAAGTGAAGACGGGACGGAAGTGAGGCGAGCTGGCTGTCTATTATCGCCAGTGATCTTCTTGATTGTAGTAGACTGGATAATGTGACTGACAGAGAGCGGCCAATCAGGAAACAGGCATAAAATCGACCCACATAAAAAACAACTTGGACGATCTGGACTTCGACGATGATATGTGTCTGATTTCCCACAAACTGGAAGATATGCAAGTGAAACACAACAAGTTGACGCCAGAAGAAGCATCGAAGATAGGACTTGACTTCAAGTAAACATAGATAAAACAGAGGTGATGAAGATTCCTGGCCAACACCAACAGCAACAACAACAACAACAGACAACAATCAGCCAACATAAATGGGAGGAGCCTGAAAGAAACAACCTCCTTTACCTACCTACCTACCTATCTACCTGGGAAGCATCGTTTCAACTACAGGCACACGGAACTGACGAGGATATCAAAGCCAGAATCGGAAAAGCAATACAAGCTTTCATTACTCCCAAGTCTGTGTGCAGGAGGTCAACAGCCCCACTCTGCATCAAAAATAACATCCGGATTTTCAACTCCAATGTGAAGTCAGTCAGTGCTACTTACTATACGGATCAGAGACTTGGACAGCGCGTCATAAAGAGCATCTCAAACAAACTTCAGACCTTCATTAACAGTTGTCTTCGCTCAATACCACTCAAGATCAGATGGCCGGCCAGAAAAGATCAGAAACAGGGATCTCTGGAAATGAGCGAACCAACACAGCACGAACCGATTGTGAAACAAATAGGCAGGAAGAAATGGAGATGGATTGGCTGGCCATACGCTGAGGAAACAAGCCATCAAGTGACATCACATGCCAGGCCATAGCTCGAGTGGAACCCGAAAGGGAAGCGGGCGGCGAGTTGGTCGTCAGTGCAAGGGTGACTTGGAGGAGGTCATGTGAGGAGGAGATGAAAGCATGTGGGCAGACTTGGAGCGAGATGAAAACGTTGGCAGAAAACCGAATGCAATGGAGACGCACAGCTGAAGCCCTATGTTCCTCTAGGAATTAAAGGATATAATAATAATAATAATAAAATACATTGGATCAATAATTAGTAACGACAGATAATATTCCGACAGCCTCAGTAAGGGAGAGATAACATGCATTAATGCATAACACTAAACTGATTGAATATCGGATAAATGAAGCTAAGTAAGAGAGAATTATAAGGGAATTTATAGGTTGGACAGCAGATCAGGGTAGCAGTGGGGATTGATTGGACCTGTTTCTTTTGCACACAGAGCTCCGATCGATTTGGGTGAATCACAATGGCCTATGTGCTGCTGTTTGGAGTGTTCGGTATCTAGAGACTTTTAGTAATTTATTCGATAACAGATATTGATACTGAAAGACTCTTCAACGGTGATCCAATATAGAACTGCTGACAGTTTTAACAACACCCCTATTTAACTATAATTATAAACTTTCAACAATTTCGGCACTTACCTAGAAAGCATGGTTTTAACCATCATAGGTAGTCGGACAGCACGGATGAAGATGTCAAAGCCAGTTAGCCAGCCGGTCACAATCGGGGAAAGGAAAAGATACACCTTCATCCACCTGAAGTCAGTTTGGAAATCTTCTCTGCACTAACTCAGCCAACAAGCATAAACAAAAAAAAATTGGATTCTATTCAACACAAATGTGAAGTCAGTCAACTCTTTTATACGGATTAGAGACTTGCACTGCGTTCGCGTCACGAAAAGGACTGCCAACAAGCTAGTGCAGACTTTTATCAACAGCTTCCACCTTCACTGGCTGACTGGCTGGCTGGCTGGTCCCATACTGAAGATCGAATGGCCGGCTAGAACTGGCTGGGAACAAACCAACCAACAGGCGAGAGCCGATTGCTCAACAAAGGCTATGTAGGAGGAAATGGAGACGGATTGATCGGGCATACACGCCACTGTGGAAACCATCGAATGACATCGATTGCAATGCAGGCGATCACTCGAGTGGAATCCCAATGGGACGAGACGAGTAAGTCGTCAGTGTAAGGGTGACACACGGTAGAGATCGTGTGAGGTGTAGGAGATGAGAGATTCTGGTCCATCGTGGACCCAGGTGAAGGGGACAGCAGACAATAGAATAAATTGGAGATGTGTTGCTGAAGCGCTGTATTCCCCTCGGAACCAAAGGGAGTAATAATAATAAACAGTTCGGCAATGGATAGAAAATTGTTGAGGATTAATCCAAACAAACCAGAATTCCACTGTAACTATAACTGATAATCAACTTGTTCAAACTAAAGCATAATATCTCTATTGGGTAGATAAGACATTAAGGTTTGTCATACAATGTATGAGGCATAAAATCAAATTTAGTCACAAATAATTGTGAAAAAATTTACATGAAATGTACCTCAACTAGGTGAAGTAACAACATTAAAGTATATTTGTTGGATGTTGACTAGTAGTAGAATCGAAGATACGCATTTCGTCCTATTTGGGACCCATCAACTGGATGTGCTTGTGTCCCCCCCCCAGTGACTCAGTGGTGGTCTTCCCACTGAGGCTCGAGCCCAGCCTTAGTGGGAACACCATCCATCAATCAACCACTGGATGGATGGATGCAGGTACATTCCCACCAGTGGT